AGCAGAACAAGAAGCAGCATGGAACCGTGCGCCAATGCAGGGCTGCTGGTGCCGTCAATGAATCCAGATATATTGATATGCACGGTACTTGTAGAATGAGATTCAGTTTGCACATTGTGGGACTTCAATTTTTCAGCAGCGGTTTGGGCATTGGTTGTAACCGTCCTTTCCATGGAACCATCGCCTCGGATGTTTTCATACAGTACATGTGGTTCATTCTGTTGCTTCGCAGTCGTCGCATTTTCAGCTGTCCCCAGTTCGTGTTCCTCTGTCTCATGTTCTTCTTCCATACTTTCTGTGGTGTTGTCCACCGAACCAAGGTCTCGTCGCATCCTTTGTACGACAGGCACCACCTTTTCTACCACGGTCTCCGGACTTCTAGTGCTGTCCTCCAAAAACTCCCTGGCCTCACCCACTGCTTTTTTCAGTTCCTCAGATTCTTTAATCGCCGCATCTCTGACGCGTGTGGAACTATTCTTTGCCCTCTTTGCGGCAGTCTTCAGTTTTCTGAAAGCATCGACATCTTTCTCGGCATCAGTCGAATCCCGCGCATAACGGGTGTTTTTTTTCGCGACAGCACTGATGAAATATTTATAATCATGACTTTTCTTGTACAGTTCAAACACAGTCGCATTAAATTTTTCTGCGGCAGCAACACGTTCTTTGGCTTTTTCAACCATCTCTTCAGAAGCATTTACCACCTCATTTACGGCAAGAGCGCACTCTTTCCGAAGTTCCGTGGCCTTCTCCCCAATGGCGGCACGATTCAGTGTCCCATCATTACCGTCTTTGGTAAATGCCTTGCACTTCTCCTGAGCATTCTCAACTGTGGTATTGTACTTGTTCTTTGAGATGTTAAACGCCTGGAGGGCAGCATCAACCTCACCCCTCTCCTTCTCCATCTTGGTTTTTAATTCTTGAATTGCTCCCTTCCAATACGCCACATGTTCCTCCGTTTCACGTTTGTATTCCTCTCCGTACGCGGGTCGACTATAATCATAGGGTTTGGGAGGAGTCGCAGGAGCACTTGCATAGGCCACATACGCGCAACATTGCAGAAGTACCAACAGGTACACCACACCACGCAGTCGGACGAACATCGTTGTCAAGATTGTCGCTGTGAGTTGCTTGGATCTATGGTAACAAGGAAGAAGAGGAAAAGGAGAAAAGTAGACGCACATTTAACACACAATGTAGAGGGTACACAGCAACACAGAAAGAGAGTGAGAATACACATCACAACAGCAATCAAACACAACCCAATGAGGGGAACACAACAGTAAACCACTCACACAATAAAACACACCCAGAGTTAAACAGACATTGAAACAACACCTTGAATTTAGAAGAAGTGAAAAACAAATGGTATCAAAACAATATTAAATAAACGTCTCTACACACACTCCA